AATTTTTTTTCAATTAGATACGGATTAATAAAATCCAACAGATTCTGAAACAAAGTACGACGATCAAGCGGATCAAGTACAACTTGGAAAATAAATTTTCGAAACAGATTTACATGGCCTTTTGCGATTAATTAATTGTTTGTGAAGTATACCTATATATTAACTGATATCAAAGATAAAATATGAATCACACAGGATATTTGCTTTCACTTAAAAAATAAAACCACTAAAGAGAAATTGCATTGAACAGATTGACGCATATTCGAATTAAAAGTCGTAATGCGTAAAGGAATTAAATAACGTATTTAGAATCGAATGATAATACTACAAAGCTCAATGCGACATAAAATGTTCTAGTTACCATTTCAAAACAGTAATTCAGAGAAAATGGGAATTAATATTCAAGAATTAAAACATATAATATGTGACTTGTCATTTGGCATTAAAAGGTAAATTAAACTCGAACAGTCAATGTTTATTGACTTAATTATTTGTAAAATATTAATACCATAAATATTATAGATGTGTTAGAGATGTTAAATGTGAATATTTATCCCAATTCTAAAAAAAAATTTGGAAAAATATCGGAACACGTATTTTGACGTATCTGAATTAAAGTAAGTAGATAACAATGCAATGCACTAATGAGCAATGGTTTTCTATCAGTGTATTGGGCAAGAGAATCGTATGCGCGCAACCTATTGTCCTCGTTCAGTAACCCTAATAATAAATGCCATTTGTCGCCAAGAGGATCTCGTTTGTGCGTCGTTAGCGGCAACTTTCTCGACTGTCGTTTCAGGAGCGTTGCTTGCAACGTGATTTTTTTTATAGCACTGCCAATGTCCAAAAATTCGTATGTACTAATATATACTTTAGTATACCTCTGCGTTTTATAAAAAAAAAAAAAACACTTCATACGATAACGGTAATCTCTAATCCAAAAATTTTCCAATCGATTCAATAAATATGTACAATAGATATTGAGATGTATAGAAACTATCTCATCGAATACTGAAACAATCTATGCTCGCGTATCAATTGAAAAATTAGGAAATAACGGCCTTTTACTTTCTATCTTAAACAATTTAGGCTATTAGATTATCGTGCAAAATAAGATATTTATTTATTAGATTCATTTTGCTGTAGAAACTTAACTTACATCACTTTGCCGCACGAGCTTTCGATTATTATTCGATTGTAGTCGCAATCGATGGAATGTTAATTTGATAATTTCAGATCGCGATAATTAATGATTGTCTCATATTTATTAATACTGAACGGAAGATAAATATCTCAAACTTTTCATTTTTTCATTACATTTCCTGCAGAGGTTTGACTGGATATAACCGTGAAAGAAAACAGTTATATTACGTGAAAATAATAACGGGTACCTATATACACCTGTAAGAATAACTGAACATCAATTTGACGTGATATTCCTGAAAAAATTTATGTAAGCCTAAACTATAATCATTTAATCAGAGCGTGTATTAATAATTTCAAAAGTTCTAACTCTAATTTATATCTTCGCGAATGAAAATGACTGCGACAATTCCAACGTGATTTTAATTGCAAATAAACGCCTATTATGCTTGTTACGTCGCTAACGCGACGAGCACAAAGTCCGTCCGTTTTCTTGCTTCATTTAACAATTATAGTATCAATTGATCACGTCCGAAAAAAGTACGTTACAAGTGACGTTGATTGCCATTAAAAGTTATTTTCTGCTCACACGAAATTTTAAGTATCGCCCGCATCTTCAGAGTCGCATGCGATCTTGACATTGCCGCTTAATTCGTTTTGTATGCATTTTTATTATTGCAACTAGAAACGTGCATACATCGTAGATAAGAGACAGAATGAATTATAATTTATTATAATTATTATAAAAGTAAAAATACTAGCATTTTTCAATTCGACCGATTTTAGAACCAAAGTTTAAAAAGCTTTCGATAACAAATTCATTATTCTTACAATATTCTGAACTGTTGAAACCGAATAATTATTTCTCATTGCATCATTAATTTTATACAGCTACATAATACTTCGACGTTATCAAAATTAGAAGGAAACGAACGGCCTGATAACATCAAATTACATCGCCACAATTATTGATTCTACATTTAAGGCAATAATCTTACCATAGTGTTGTTGTACGTACATATATCACATAATGAACTTCGTTCATTAGTGTCGAGTTTTTAAATTGAATCGAGTGTGTGAGAGTAACGAAATGAAATACTCTAAAAGAGTATTTTATTTATTTGAAATATTCAACTTCGTTTCTCCGATCAAAAGTATATAAAAGAGGGAAGGAAAGGAAAGTTTCCAAAGAGTTAACGAGGTTAATGCTTTCGGCGAATCCGACGAAATAGCAGCCGACCCCGAGGACCTCTTGACCGGCGTTATCAAGGTCGTCGATGACCTTGAAAGCCGTCGCGTTTACCTAACAACGGCCGTTATTTCGGCGGTGCACCGTCGTTCATAACGGCGATACTGACCCGCTTCAGCTGATTGCCCATGATATTCTGAAGCTCGTTCTTTATCAGACTGAACTTCATCATCGTGTCGCTGGAGAATATGGAGCAGCCGAAGGCGAGCCCGGGATAATCGGCGCATCTCTTTCGTCTGCGGGCCTCCCGCTCGGCCTGGACCTCCGTACGCTCGCTGGGACAGCGTAGCTTGGCGAGCTCCGCCAGTTCCGGGTCCTCCTCGACGTTGCTGGACTCGTCGTCGGAGTTCCCGTCGCCGCGTGCCCTCGCGACCGCGTGCTCGGGCTCGGGCGAGTCGCTCTTACTCCGCGGATCGCGCTCGCCGCGATCCTCGGGAGAGTTCCTTCGACGAGGACTGGATCGGTGGATTCGTCTCTTCTTACCCGGCCGATCCTCGGTCTCGTCGTGCTCGGCGGCGTCTTTACTCTCGCCGAGCGCGGGAACGTCCGGGCTACACTGCGCGAGCCTTTGTCGGACGTCGTCCCTACGGTCCCCCTCATCATCCTTCTTCTCTTTCTCCTCATCGAGGATCTGGACTCTCGAGTCCTTCGTCTCGATCTCGTTGATCCTCGTGGACCATCTCGTGCCGAGGGTCATTTGCGGCACGGACGGATCCGTCGTCGTCCCGAGTCGATCGTCGACGGTCACGTTGGCGGGCGACGTCTCGTCGCAGGTGAACGTCGTGTTCCTGGCGACATCAGCAGGGCCACACTGCGCGGGTCCTCTGCTGGAGGCGTCGAGACGTCGTCGCGTGGTGTGCCGCGGATGATGCTGGTGACCGCGGCGTCTGGTTGCTGTCGAGACCGCCCGCTCCATGTCGCGTCCAGCTGTTGTCAGGTTCTGGCCAACCAACCACCGAAAGCCCCGCGTCGTCCAACACGTTGACGCGGCCCGTGCGATATGCACCGCTCTACTACCACTGCACCAGACACTCCGCCATCTTGTCTGTCACTGATCGAGACGCACGTTGCTCCCCCGCGCCGAAGACGTACTGTCCACCGGCTGTGTTGCACCGTCACGTCACGCACACGCCGCATACGGCGATACGGCGGCGCGTACACAAAGAATGAGATCGCGCCGTACTGCGCCGTGCACCGGGCACGCTCTATCTGCCTCGCTCGCTCGCACAACGAGCGAGAGCAACGTCCCCTCCACGCGGTTAAGCGCGATGCGCGAGTGGGGAGAGCCGACCGACGGTTCCACGAGTGAACACAACGAGGAAGCTGCGCGAATCACGGATGAACTGTTCGTAAAGGACAAGCGGACGCGCCGCTTCTTGGGACGTGTCGCGCCTGCGCGAACATGTGGCGCCATCAGTTGGCGCGCGCTCAGCACCGTGTTGCTGTCGGTAACCGTTGCTCGGGCGGCATTTTTTTTTTTTTTGCGGGTCAAGAGGTCCTGGATTATGTCAAGTTTTGCTAACGTTTTCTTGTTTTGTTTCATAAATATCAAATTTACTGCTTCTTTCAAATCTAACGTTTTAACTCGAATAAAATATTGAATATAAGTACAATTTTCCTGTTACGCAAAAAAAAATTTTTTTTAGAATCTTCTTTTCTTCTACTTGTTTTATTTGGATTTCATAATTCCAAGGATTTTTAACTCTTTGAATACTTACTGTTTTTATATTGTACATTTTGCAGAGTAAGCAGTCTAGATAACTCGAAGAATCAGATTTCGAGCAAAATATGCCATATCAATTTTCGATGCCAGAAAGACAACAAATTTCGCACAGAATCTATAATATCCAACGATGTTGTCAACTTGCCGCCAGAAATAGAATAAAGCCTGTTAGTTGATATACTTTGTCAGCAGATTGGTGAAATCCGAACAAAATTTCTTGCATCAGTTTCTGCTGCCAATCTGCTGTCAGATTGCCTGCTCGCGCAGATTTTGCTCGTTTTCTGTTACCACTCTGCTGGCATCAGCATGTCAGCAGACTTTATCGACGACAGCCTTGAGTTTAAAGGATTCCCTACATGGTCAATAATACTGAGTCAGTATTACTGACAGACGCATTAGTTTTTACAACCTTATATATGATCAGTATTATTGACAATATTTCACTTCAGTTTGACATGGTTTGACGTACATTATTATCTGTGGCGACATGGATCTTAAGGAAAAAGCATGTACTGAAATCCACAAATCATCGTCAATCCATCAATATTAACCATACATAATCAATATGATCAGTATTCGTTGATACTGACAGTACATATAGAGGCCTTAATACAAATCCAGATAGCTATAAATCTACATTGTGATCTGATTTACTATCAGTCTGTCAGCAAACTACTATCTATCTTGCTATCTAGACTGTTATTGGAAGCAACTAAACATATAGAGTATTTCAGAAAGTACAATATACGGCAGAAGAACTAGAGTGTTCACAGGAGTAACATATCCTAATTATATTTGATCTTGAAATTCATTTCTCATTTTGATCCGGCAAAATGCCGAATAATTTTTCATTTATCAAATAATAAAAATATTTGTTTCACTTACGTTTTGCAGAGCCTTGTCTTTCTCCTCTAATTTTGCGTTGACCTGCATAAGAGCTTCCTGAGTTTGATCAAGCTCATTCTCGATGGTTTGGATCTTTTTTTGCAGGGCACGAGCCTCTTCCTCAGCCTATGTAAATCGAAATGCCTCATTATTTTTTCATACTCTATCGCTATTAGCTTTAGAAATAGATTATGGTATTATAATTTAGCTTAATGTATATTTTTATATATTTTTAAGGCTTATATTTTTATGCTGACATTGCTGACGCTTAATGCTCATTTTCGATATCACAGGTCACGTGATCAAAATTGATACTCGATATTCATATTAACTATATAACTTATTTAGACGCTAAATTAGACGAAGTGATGATGCTAAGCGTCAGCATGAAAATATAGTTTTATTTCAAAAACATAAATAAATCAATTCAGTCATATTTAAGTTTATCACAATTATCAAATTCTGACGTATATAGCTTTGCATGTATAAACAATTATGATTGATTCCAAAATTGTCGTCAAATAATATTTTTTGTACCTTTTCAGCTCGCGCATTGGCATCACGAGCTTGCTGTTCGCAGAGCAACGCGCGATCCATCGCGTTGTCCTTCTCCAGCTTCATTCCCTGCATCTTCTTCTTGATCGCGTCCATGGTGGTGTTCGGTCTTCTCACTCGTCCAACAGAAGAAAAGCTGTAGCATCAAATAAGAATGCGATTACAGACAGGTATTAAAAATTAATGAACTTGATTACGAAGCACACGCTCTGCTTTTGTATAACAAAATAGAATAAAATAGAATTTTTGCATGTAACGCTAATCTATATAAAAATACTGATCTATGCTTTCTTGCCAATCATAATTAATTGTAAAATTGTAAAACTATCTAAACAGATCAATAAGTCATATATGTAATATCAAAATGATATTAAAATAAAACGTTTTTTTTTTTTTATTGAAAAGTGATTTTTATAATAATTATTTTGGAGCTACCTTGATATCATTTTGATATCATGATGATTTATGTTCTATTTGAGTAAAGTATTATAATTACAACATATTGACTGTTGAAAAATGCATTGACAAGAAATATTACAATTGTATAACAGCCACAAGACAATATAGTAATTTATTGATTTTAGTCGACAGTGATAGTCACGAAAAATTCTCGTTAGTTAATTTACCGTGACATAAAATCATCAATTAACGAGCCTTTTTGCTCTCCTTTACGCCTTCACTAACCGAATCCTAAAGCGCTCCGATGAGCAATTAAGTATGCTCCGTTTTTTTTTCTCGCTCGTAGTAATTTTCTTTGTTCACGGAGGAATGCGGCCTCTACAGCCTTCTCGCAACAATATAGGGTGGAATAGCGCACACACTACGATCGTTCGTGCGATCCTACGATCCGTTATCCTTCCGCAGCAACTTACGACGACGTTTCAAGGATAAGAAGGGGAGGATGAGCCCGTCACACGGGCGCGGAAATGGGATACTCTCGAAAGCAAGAAAATTCCGAGCTTTGTTTTCTCGCGGATTCGCCATTTGGCGAACGGGCGCGCATATAGTTAGGCGTGTATAATTAGCGAGCGACCGGAAATCCTATTTATAGAGCGGGCTCCTCGCTGAGGAAGGCCCGGACCACGGAGGAAGGCGATATCAAACGCTCGCGCTCCGGCTGCCTCTTTTCGTCCCGTGACGTCATGCCGCTCAGGTATGCAATTCCCGTGCACGGGCGAGCAGGAAAATAAAGATCCGTCGCGACTGCATCCGCGATCGTTTGTACAAATCGTTCTTGAATGGCGGAACATTTCTGCGGTGCAATCAGAGAAAACGCGTCAGGGACGGTCGACCTCCCTCGAAATCGTCTTACGAGTCGAGAATAACTTTAAGGAAATCCGTTTTATGGAACGGTATCACATAATAAAAGTGGTTTGAAATTCAATAACAAAACTATCGCGACGCTGGATATAAAAACAATAAGCGATTTGACTTTATCGATGTCACGATATACGTTGAAGACTTTACGTGATTGCTACGTGAAGAGTTCGTTAACTGATAACACTAACCACTGGAGACACTCTGCGATAATTTGATTTTATTTATCTTTTCTGGATATCATTACTATTATTATTATTATTAGTATCATTTCTTTATTTTACATACAAATATAATAAACATCTATTTTTTTTCCATTTATTTACTTTTTTCTTTCATTGAAAGGAGCAGCAAGCTTTAAAAATATTTTTCGTAAAGTGCATCTTCTTTCATAAATTAGTAACTTTTACATTCATTGCCAAGAATAAAAATATACAAATTGCTGAGAAAATGACGTAAATTTGAAATAGAACAAAATTTGTCGTTTGCATCAATGCGTTATTATTAGATCTACAGCTTAATTCTCGGCCGCTATATCACAGCACTTATCCAAATTTGAATTTCCTTCTCGCATACGCAGTCGTTTTTAATAGGTGTCGATGCTGCAAATTTAATTTCAAAAAGCAGTGGCGAAAACTATGTCGTTCGAAAAGCAGCATTTGAAGCACTCCCTTTCGCGTTCCAGCTGAAGAAAAATGCCGCGGGAGCTCATTTTGTTCGGTTTTAGGCAAAAACTCGTATGTCGTACAATACACGTGAAAAGTGGTTCCAAAGATTCCGTGAGGGCAATTTCAATTTTTTTCATCATAGAATTCATCGACTCAAAACAGCCATATTTTTTCCGAAGCGGAACCCGACAGTTGCTTGAAAGATGGCGAAAATGTGTGAAGGGGATTACTTTGATTAAGTCAATATTCATTCCTGTACAATTTTACATCGAAGCTTTGATGGAAAGGGCCGAGAATTAAAGTCGTAGACCTAATAAATGTTTGTTTAAGGATCTTATAAAGAATCTCGTGCCTGCGCCACTGCAATTGCATGTACGGTAGAACCGCATCTCTGTTTCTACCGAGCGAATACGCGCGGGATTCCGAGCTCGCTGGTAATCAGAGATGCCTGATAAGCAGAGAACGAAAGGGAAATGAAGTTCGTGTGATGTTTGTAGAAACAAAAACATCAGCCGAAAGATTCTGCGAAGTTAAACGCGGCATGTCATCATTTTATAAGCATTCATACGTGATACCGGCGAAACAAAATTCTCGCGAGATGATCGGTTTTCTTTGCGCCCATTGTCATTCCAGTCTTTAAACTCTCTTCGTCGAGTAGAATATTTTAGGCGTGAAGATGCCGGAATCATGGATCGCAAGGAGAGCGCGACGACCAAAATCCGTTGTATAAAGCGGAATCTATCGAGATGGGCATTACACGAAATTTGACGAGACGCGCGCGTTCCATTCCACGGATCCAAAAACGCGGGTATCGTGACCAATGGGTTTATTTTTACGCGTCAAGAGGAGGAGAGGGCGGCAAGATTCGTTGCTGCCTGACCAAACCATTTCGGGTTACGCATAGCGAACGTCGCGCGCTCACTCCCAAACGCACCGAGTGATTTAACTCGGTGGTGTCCTGTTACGCGCTCGGAAGAAAAAACCGACTGCAAATCGAATATCTTTCTCGTCCCTCGACTGAAAACGTCTGTTTCCGCGATTGCAAAATGGAGCAAGAGGAAATAAAAATACCACATCGTTAAATAATGTTACCGTAGAGTCTCTCACGTACAAATATTTTTGTAGAAAAAAATAAAAGGATCATTTTATGCATTCCTCTTTTCGTAAAAATTTATTGTTTTAAAAAAATTTATTTTTTAAGAGACGAGACATTTCCTAAAATTTAACTATAATTATTAAATATTTAAAATTATCCTTCATTAGATAGCATTTAACAGAAAAATTATTTTTTACATGCTTGTTTCTAAAGATCTCAAGTATTTTTCAAGTTACTGAATATTTATTAATAAATATTAATATAATTCTATATGTATGTGTGTGTAATTTCGAAGTGGCACAACGTCGTTTCTTTTTTGTAAGTTAGCACGCATCGCAAATCGATGATAACGTTAGCTTATTTTCCGAGTAAAATGTGCTTAGCTCAGCACTCTTGATGGAACGCGCCAAAGAAATTTGTCTCCATATTACGAAAAGATCAAAAGTCTGTGCAATGTTGTCACAGACAGTGATTACTCGCCAATGCGAAAAAAATTCTTGTGAGTCACTGAGGAAGACGACCGCCGCGGCTCGCGATGATCCGTTATCGTGAAGGATTTCTGCGAAATACCTTTATTTTCGACGATTATTTAAACTATCAGATATTACAATGTTATTTTATTAAATATAACAAAATTATATAATAATTAGAACATCCTCGGAGATTTAATAAACGTTCTCTTTATAATGATTTTATTACTTATAATATTTAAATAATTTTATTTCATAAAATAAAAATAAAATCACGAAATTACGAATAGATTATTGCCTGACAGTTTCTTTTTCATTCTTATAATTTATATTCTTTGTATGTGATCTTCAATTTATCGATTACGATAGCAATCTCGCTCATCTTCAAAATAAGAACGAAGATTAATTCTACTCGACGACGATGCAACAATTGAGTTACTTCATTTTTTGCGCATAGACACATACGTCATTCATTGTTCATTTGATGATTAAGTCATCTTCCTGGATGTAATCGTTTATATTATGTCCAAGCGATATCGACATATAGATCATAAAAGTGAGCGATATCAGTTCTTCAAACAGCGACGTCGTAAAATGTTACAAGCCTTCAAGATATTACAAGCCTTCAGTGTCGTTGCTAAAAAAATTATATGTAATTCTCATACTTTTCTTTGTAAAAACATTAAATTTGCAATTTATGATTATGGCGAGATCTCTTTTCTTTTTTTTTAATAAAATCATATTTTCAGCTTAAATTGCTTCAGACTATTACTATATTATAGATTCGCTTAGCAATACTGCTCCTGTCTTGAATAATTTTGGAAACTTTTTCGTTTGATGATAGTTGACGATTGATTTGTACTAAACAATTTGATAAGATAAATATACCAATTAGCGGGCATAATTCAATTATTATTGGATAAAATATGTATTAAAAATTTTAAATATTAAGCTTTTAGTGATATGTTCTAAATAAATTTGTTATTTATAAAAATTTAATAAGATAATTTGTTCAGAGTTGAACATATTATTAAAAATTTTTAATTTTTATCATTTTGTGTGTTGAATAATTGGGTAATCATCCACTGACTGTCCACTAACTGGTATTTATTATTAATAATGTCCAAACAACTACTCCCTTTTGAAAATGTATTAAAAATAAACGACATTGAATTAACAGTCACCGAATTGAAGTCATTTTTTTTCTGTGTACACTAAAATCGAAGCCTGATTAATTGCAAGCTGAGGTTTCACGTCCGTTTTTCACAGCCAACCAATTTCGCTGAACGTGAAATTCTCCGTAATGAATAGTAATATTCTCTCGGTACAAAGTCGAGCGTCGAGCCATATCTCCTCATTGCGAGAATTCGCACGGCTCGTCCTTCACGAGCGTATTTATTCAAGAGTTTCGTCGGGAATTCGTTGAAGCTTGGATGTGTGAGAGCGCGTGTATGTGTATATAAACGACAAGTGACATTTGCATAAAAATCAAGCAATTTGCCGCGGCAAATATGCAAGTCCTTGCGAAAGTGTCACTCGCCACTATTTACACGCAGAGACACCGCACACTTCTTTCTTTCTTTCCATCTAGAGGAGAGAGAGAGAGAGAGAGACTTCTTTTCTTTCTAAGAATGTAGAACGACCGCAGTGTCCCCGCGGATGTTAATGACACGCTCCAGAAGACGGCTTCTTTCGCAGCTCTCTTCGGCCTTGATACGCATAGGGTACCACATGGTACTCATGCGTAAGTACTCACGTTCGTATCCGTTCGTCCGGGATGCGTCCAATCTGCGGGCTAAGTCACGACTGGGCGACGGAGAGGCGCTCGGGGCTCGCTTCGTCGTGGCTCCCACCTTCTCGCGATGCTCCTCGAGATCGTCGAGGACGACGCGACCCCTTCCACACCGCCGTCTACCCCCCGGATCGTCTACGTACGGATCTGTGAAAACGTATACCGGCCACCGCCCGCCGATTATCTTTAGATCGCAGACGCGCGAACGTGCGTGTGTGCCGAATGCTCTATTTCGACGACGGCGACGATGGGGGAGCACCTCGCGGAAAACGGGGCGGAGAGAAAAAAAAAACAAACCTCGAAGTTGGAGACGTCGAGCAGTTCAATCGGTTGCCAGCGCCCGCGAAACACGAGCAAAGTCAAAGTCACATCGCGATCTACGAAACGATGCATGCGCACTTGAGAGGAAGCTATTCGATCTTCGATGATTCTCATTAGATTTGTTAGAAAATAGATCAGCATAAGAAAAATATAAAATTGGGGCATAACTTTAAGACGTTATTAAAACCGATTTTATACTCTGATTTTAATACACGTGCAGTATGAAGATTATCAAATTCGAGCTGTTCCGTTTTACGGTATCTCTTTCAGCGAAGTATCGTATTTTTCTGCAATAATGGCATCGATTTACACTATAATGAATTTCATCAAAATCGATCGTAAAGGGGGAGTTATAAAATGTTAATTATATTATACAATACTTACCGAGCTTTTAATTTTCAATTTATACAAATAAATAATTGCTAAAGTTTCTTTTAAGATGAAAGATAAATCTTATTGTAAAATTAGATTCCTTACTTTTTTTCACACAGAAATTGATTTTTTGGAAAAAAAAAGAGCAGGATAAATGTGGGATAAATAAATAGATTGTTCTACTTTCTTATTAATACGCTTTATTAACATATACCATATCTCTACTATTTATTATTTTAATTTATCAAAATTTGCTTCAATTGTCCAACGTAATGAATTATCTCGTAAGTTATTCATTTCAGGAAGATTATAGCGGTTATGCGGGTGATATTTAAAACGACCGTTTTGAAATTTGTTTATGAACGGAATGAGAGTACAATAAGCGAGAGAAGGTTGACGTAAACCGTCAAAAAACGACACCTTCATTTTCAAGAAGAAAGCGTTTGGAATCGGCCGCACTGGTAATTTTGGCATCGGGATCAACGTATAGCCTAACCCGATCTCCTTGAGTTAACTCGTGTCACGGTCGATCTGTTATGACTCCGGATGGCGGTCTGGCTTTTTATTCTTCCTCGCGAAATAATCCCGTCAGTAATTCCATCTACTTAGGGTCAATCGTTAGTTCGATTCTTCTTGAAATTGAGTGACGTTTATCGAGAGACGTTTAGCCTTATCGGGACGAACGTAGTTTTTCGCGATGGAGAACTCGCGTCAATAAATCAAATATCCACGTATAATTTGCACGAATAATTGTCACACAAAATCGTCACGTACGCTTTTGCGTAAGATCGGCCATTATATCTCATCAGTTACAGTCATCAGTCCGTTTCAGTACCATATAAGGAAAAAGTAGGTAAGGGTCCCTCAGCAGCCTTGACTCATATACGACTGGGTCTCTCCGAGCACTTGCTCGAGTATGCTCGCCCGAGTATACGCTTTTTAAACACTGATCGTCCGAAGAGGTCGATAAATATAACGCATACGAGCGTCTGCCTGTCGCGCTTGATGAGGCCGACCTAAACGCACACCGGCATATTTTAATATATAAACTATATTTAAACTTTCGCAGCATCTTTCACTTAAAAGTAAGTAAGTAGGTATACCATGCGCTCTTTTCTCTTTTCTCGATTTTGCTATCTAAGCAATCGTAACTTCATAAATTCTTCATCTTAAATACGACGTGTGAAAAAGGATCGTGAATTTATTACACCTTTCTGACAGCATGTCCAAAATCGAGACATAAGACATCTTAAAGACGCTTTTAAGATGTCTTTCAAGATAATCCTTAAAAGATGCTTAAATGACGTCTTATGTTCCGATTTTGGACGTAAGGCGTCACGATACCTACTGTCTGGACGATATGGAATGATTTTGATAAAGTACCTGAAAATTTAACTAAATACAGATCCAAAGTAATTTTGAACTTGCAAAATAATCGTCTAGAATGCTTAATAAGCGTGATGATAATGTTATCGAAAAATTAATATATTTGCAGCCAATTTGTATGTTCTACACAAATTTTGATATTCCAAAAAATTATTTTTAGATTTGCACCTATAATTAGATATTTCAGCACAAAACCATTCTTTCTATTCATTACTTCTTTGTACACACAAATATCAATTTATTTATGTTTTCATATCATTCTTCAAGTATGAGATCGTTTTTGGAGCTTATCGTTCACTGTATATCGCGATATGAAATTGGGAGAAACTAGCACGGCAACTTGAGAAAGTACGCGATTACAGTCCGTTACAAATTAAGAAAACGCGATCATCGTTTCGCTTGGCATAGAAAAACTACTTACCTATTAGGATTCTGATAATTACTGATTCTAATGAAAGAATTATTCTTGAATGTAACTAATTGTTCATTTCCCAGATGTATCGCTTGATATGTGTGAAACTCGAGAAGTGGGTCTTTCAGAAAATTTCAGAAAATATGTTTAATGCGAGATTGATGCGCTGCATAATAACGTAATATTCGAATAGCTTACCTTGATCGAAGGTAAGCTATTCAATACAAACGTTTTTAATATACTTCGAGCGATTGATCTCTCAATAGCAAATCAGCAGCCTCATTGTAGAGGTTTGTTTACAGATTAGCGTACATATATTGCGAAATAACACTTACCATATGCAGAATTCGTTGCAGCGAGCCGCAGGTAGAGATTCCGTCCTAATTCCTCGTCGACACAAGCCTTTATATGATAAGTTGAGTCATCGTCTCGTTAGCCCCGGCTCTGTTGTGTTTTGTCAATTTCGCCGACAGCTTTTACTTCAACGTTATTATATACGATAATATTAATTGACATAATAACGATAATGATCTACAATGACTTGAAATTCGTCGACTTTACACGGAATATTTAATGACATATTAATTGCGCTATTATCCGCTTGAATAGACACAGAGTTTAAAAATCAAATTGTGCCAGTGCGCTAAAATGTGATAAATTGCACGACATAAATTCGTGCAATCATGTTTTGTTCTCACATGTCACATTACATACTCACCTTTGTTTCTGATAGCGACATTTTTATTGTAAAAGAAAATTTTATTGTAATGTTAATTATTAAAAGATATAAATAAAATTGCGTTTTGCAACGGGATAGATTCAGGATTCTTTTGGTGATCGAAAGAGAACATTTAAAATCAATTCCGTTATAAATATAAATAGGACGCAACAATAATTTATTCTTCATTATCATACATCAGTTGGCTGGACTTAATGTATCCGCCTAATGAGGTATCGAGACATCGCGATAATGTCGCAAAAGAACAAAAAAGAAAGAAAATGCAAGATACCGCGCGTGATCGCGTGGCACACGGAGGGTGTTCGATAATAAGCATATTTGTGATGACCTAAATATCATTTTATTGAAATAAAATCTTTCTTTTTACTTGCTTAAATTAAAAAGATTACGTCGACGCTTCCGTCGAGTAAAATCATTCCATTTTATTAATAAGAAATAATATTTTATTCACAAAATACGCTTGTTGTCGAATATTCTGTCTGATATATCTACGTCTGGATAAGTGCACCATTTATATGTATACATACATAAATATTTTTCACATCTGTGTAAATAATATCTTTCCGTGAATATGTATAGAACGAACATCGAGAGCAACACTTGAACACTTCAAGCGTGTCGAGTTCTCACAATAATATCACTCATTTCGCAAATTACAACCGTTACTAAATCATACGTTGGGGATACATAAAATTGTAACGAGATTCTTTGATACTCTCTATTATCAAACTTTTTATTAATATTTTATATTATTAAATTTGCTATATAATGTGAACAGTTATTGACTTCTATATATTTTACACTCACATGTCATGCTAAACAATTAAGTTATATAAACAATAGTATTAAATTGTTGAAACAGTTTTCCAATTTTATGGATTTATAAAAAAGCTTTGCGATATAATTTATGTATAATTTTAATAAATACATAATATATTATATTATTTATAATTTTTTTAATATAGTGTATTCTTCATCATGTCAAACTAGTTTGTTTGCAATTTTTTGGTTACCTTCGTAATCTCTAATTCATTATATTAGACTATTTAACATATTCACCTAATGGTACCAAGGACCTTGATCTTGAACTCGATTTGCAGGGTTATTTCAAGGTCAAAGTGATTTTTTTAAAAGGGGAACACCTATTTTTGACCCCAGATTTGAAAAGAGCGGGAAATTTTACGTTCAAAATGATAAATAACCTTGAAAATCGAGTTCAAGGTCAAGGTCCTTGGTACCATTAGGTGACCCCCTCTGTCCCCTTCTACTTTTGTCTGGACCATTTTTCTCTATATGGCTTAGATTACGAGAAATTCAGGTGGGGAGATTAAAATGGCCCACCCTATATATACAGTAAATTGGAGACGATGGAAAGTAATAAAAGAATCAACATGATAACTTACTGAGAAGTTAATAACCGTTCTCATTAATTTTTCTCGATTATTGTATTATTATGCTTGTGTCTTAGCGGTATTAATTTCTTTTCTACATAACTTAAATTTATTCAAACTATCTCCAAATTATTTTTGGAGTTTTATTACTGCCGCTGTCGTGAATTATATTACATTCGCACGGTCGCTTCTTGTTCCTCGAAAAAAAAATCTATTTTTAATACTGCGTTCACAAGAAACACGAAATAACCGTATTCGTTTGCGATGAAGCAGAAAGCGAAACCCGAACGCGAAATCGGAACGTGCGAGATCGTAAGTGCGAAAAGGAATGTTTTCCGAATTAATCGTTTTGTAGCTGTCATACATATATACATACATACGTTAATATAAATATATATATATACACATAAATATGTATATAAAAAGAGAATATATTATTATAATTCTAGATTAGCTACATATTGCTTCATTAAATTGCGTATAATTTAGATAAGGTCGCTCAGATTTATGCAAGAATGTACCTCTCGA